ACTGCCGAACTGTTCCATGTTGTGAACAGTCTTCTGAACCCAGACTGTTTTGCCTGAGTAGCAGATTTCCATATAACTCATTATGAGTTCGAGTTTTTTTGATTTATGTAGGCTCAGTTCCTTCAAAGGGATGTACGACTGTAGACCTTTATACCTGCCAAAGGTATATCTTATCAAGTAGGGCAGGTCCTGTTGGAGAATAAGAGGCTTGTTTTGCTGAGAACTTTCTTTTCGGCCAGTTTAATCTGTCATGGAAACAGCAGGTAAACAGGAGGCCACAAGGTAACTTAGCTTTTGAAGCTTTTTAATTGTACCCAGCAAGGTTCTGGATGTTTACAGAATGACGTAAGCCATGGTGTGTAGAGCAAATTCATATCCATCTTGAGTGGTCAAAGACTGCATGAAAGCTTTAAGTCAGTACTACTAAAAGAAACTAGCATGGACTTTATCTGGTTGTTGCCTTACATAACCTGATTTAAATTTAAAGTGCTAGATCTTTACATACCAAAGAAGCTGTTGTCTTTGACAGTAGTATGTGTGTTCTGTCTTATGGTATTGAAAGCACCCCTGCAGAGAAGGGCTTGGGGTTGTTGGTGGATGGAGAACTGAACATGAGCCAGCAACGTGCACTCGCAGCCCAGAATGCCAGTCGCAACCTGGGCTGCATCAATGGAAGCATGGCCAGCAGGTCGAGGGAAGTGATTCTTCCCCTCTAGTCTGCTCTTGTCAGATCCTGCTTGCAGTACTGCGCTCAGCTTTGGGGCCCCCAACACAAAAAGGACATGGACCTGTTGGAGCGGATCCAGAGGAGAGCCATCAAGATGATCAGGAGGGTTGGAGCACCTTGCCTATGAGGACAAGTTGAGAGAGTTGGAACTAGATGGGGCTGGAACTGGATGATCTTAAAGGTCCCTTTCAATCCAAACTATTCTACAAATCTATGATAAAGGCAATTAGGTAGGATGCCTAAATACATCTCTGAAGTTACCTCATTTCTGTGGATTCCTACCATTCAGATTTCTGTGGACAGAATTAATGTCTTTGTTCACATTATTTCCTTCTGTGAATGAACAAAGTCATAGAATCAGGGAATGTAATCATAAAACAATGTTCACTGGAGGGAACCTCTGGAGGGTATCTGGCCAATCCCCTCATCAGAACAGGGCCAGCGTAGATCAGCATATTCGTGGCAGTTGTTCAGCTGAGCTTTGAGCACCTCTGAAGAAGGAGATTTCCCAGCCCCTCCAGGCCTGTCTTCTAGTATTTGATTACTCTCATTCTGAAAACGTTTTTCCTAATAGCTAAGCAGAACTTCCTTTGTTGCAACATGTCTGCGTTGCCTTTCATCCTGTCACTGTGTGCTTCCAAGACTCTGGCTCCATCTTACCTATATTTTTCCATTAGATAATTGAAGGCATCAATACACCTTCAATAACAATACCCCTTCAAGTGCCCTCTTCAACATCCCCGCCTCATTCCCTGATGTGAGCAAACCCATTTCTTCCAGCATCCTCCCCTTACATTATGTGCCTGGTAATCTTTCTGACCCACTGTCCCCTTCATGTGGTAGGTTAACATCTTTGTTGTATTGGGAGGTCCAAAACTGGAGCAGATGGCATGTCCGATATGTTCATCTGGCCACCTATTACTCCTCAGTCTAAATTATTTTGCTTATTCTCAGCTGGTTTGACTGAACGTTGCTTTTTGAATAATTCAAGTCTCAAAGTTCTCTCCTCCTGCAGTAACAAGATACCTTAACTGCAGTGCTCCACATCTTATTGATGAGGGCTAAGAAACAGAACTATTTACAACAAGAAAAGCTATTACGTGAGGGAATGTGTTGCATTAATGATACTACAGATTAAAGTAGTTTGATTACAGTGCATCCTGTTTTTATAGATGGTTTCACTCAATGCTTTTTATATTGCAACAGCATAAAATATACTTCCTTATGATGGCTCTCTGACTTTAAGCATCGGGAAAGAAGACGGTGTGTAAATCACTTTCAAATCCTAGACACCATATGTGTACTGTACTGTTAAATTCGCTTCTCTTTCTAGTGCCCTTGGAGGATCATCTGCCCTTCACATCCCAGCCTTTCCTGGTGGAGGTTGTCTGATCGACTATGTACCCCAAGTATGCCAGCTCTTAACAAACAAGGTAACATAGTAAACTTAATTTTCCTTTCCCTTATGAGCTGTACCATATTGTATTAACACACTATTGCACTTCCATAGACACAGTTTTTCTTCTGCCAGGTAGGCCAAGCAGGGCATACTTAAGGTGAGCTACACAAAGAATACCTTCTTGATAAGAGCTGAGCACCTACCCAGGGCATTGAATGTAACTCTTTTAGGTAAAGAAGCATGTTTGCTTCTTTTTTCTTTTCTTTTTTTTTTTTGTATTGTACAACACTGCATTATAGCACACTTATTTTGCTAGTAAATATAAATGTGTAGTGTGCATGTTTTTTTTCCAGTTGAATCTTAAGTTCTCATAGTCTTCATTGTAGGTTTTGAGTACCTTCAGCGATTTTCTTCTCATATGTTTTATGCAAGTGAACTGAATCAGCAGTACACATGGATGTTTATACAGTAATAGCTTCTTAAAGTTGCTGAAAAGGTGGTGTTCCAGTTAGGTTAGTGTTTAAACAAAAAAGAGCGAGTATAGTATTTTGAAATCTTCTCCATTATTAAAGTGTAATTTTCAAAATAAAGCTTAGGGGCCAACATCTAGGAATCTGCTTATTACAGACCTCCCATTTGTATATTATTTTTACCTTCGTTTGTCCAAATGAGGAAAATAATTTTCTCTTTCTGAAGAAGTTCTTCAAAATGTGTTTCCATAATTATACTGCAGTCTATCTTTAGACTTGTTTTTGTTGTGGTTTTCTGTTAAAATTACTTTCTGTTTTTAAAATCTACAAGTACACAGGACTGTTTTTATCCTTTCTTAAACAAAGTCCCTTAAGCAAACTTATCATATGTTTTCCTTTTCCCAAAATAACATTTCAGATCCCACACAAAGTCTTTAAATTATTCGTAGTTTTTATAAAATTAAATAAGTCTAAATTTATAAATAGAATTTAAGGGGTACAAGATAGCTCTCAGCACTTACTGTATCAAGGCTTTTTCAAAAAATTTGGGGAAGTGTTTGACAGCCAACTTATTCTATTATTGCCATAGCCAAGAAAAATATTCTTCCTGTTCTTTTCATGTTCAGTGGTGAAAAAAGGTTTTAAAAATGTTAGTTTTCATTCTGGAAGGCAAAGGGATTTACGTAGGGAATCACACATGGAACCATGCTGGAAGTACTTGAAGTAACCAGTTGTAAACCAGACGCTCTCACAGCCTGACAGCACACGCACCGTTTCTGTTATGGGTCAAACGCTGTTCATGCTGTTCTGCTAAGTAATCCCATTCGGATCAATAAGAAAACATATATGGTGCAAGGATAATTTTGCCTTAAGTCTTCCAAGTTCAGCGCTGTTGGATTTCGTCTATGCCAGGATGGAAGTCTTTCAAAACCCAGAATGCCTCAGAAATTGATGATTGCAGTCAAATAGATGGCTTCCTGAGCCTACATGAAACCGCTGAGGGAGCTTAGTGTTAAGAAGATTTTGTTGGAGGTACAGTCTTCAGAAAACACTCAAGATGGGTTGTGAAATATGTATTTTGTTTATTTGTTTATTTGCTTTTATAACCAGAATGTTACTTTGACACTTCACTACTGTCGGTTAAGGTAGTAATGATGTGCCTGTCATGACTTCCTGCTCAAACTTTACCAGGGCAAGGTCTCACATTTCTGTTCTTCACTCTATCTTGTGCAGTTAAACAGTGCTTCAGTGTATCGTGAAGGACTAAGTTTCACTCAGAAGCGAGTGAAGAGATTTCTTTGCGAGATTTTCTGTGTGCAAGATCCACTGTTTGTTTTAAAGGCATTTTAGGACTCTTGAGGGAAATCATGCAAGCTGAATGTAGGATTCAGAACTACTGCCATGTGAAACATAAATCTTCCGTAACAAGAAATATATGACAATTTGGGAGTATTGGCTTTTTTTATCTTTTTATAGCTCTGGATTTGTTTCTTTCTTTCCTTTTTAAGGTACAATATGTTATTCAGGGATACCATAAGAGAAGAGAGTATATTGCAGCTTTCCTGAGTCATTTTGGAACGTAAGTTTTCTTTTGATGCATTATTTTCTGTTAGCATGGGGAAGAGTGTTTTTTTTCTGCACATGGTCTTTGGTTGTATGAGTGCTGTCTACTAGATAAGATGAAATCTGGTAATTTTTCACAGAATTATGTATATAGGTTGTCTCTCTGTAGCAGTACTGGAATTAAGTTCAGCATGAATTCTGTGCCAGTTGCTAATCTGATTTTACTAGAAAATATCTGATGATGGGAAAAGGACACTAAGAGTTTTCTCCCTGTGCAGAAGAAATGTGCTCATTTCTGAAAAAGAAATACTAGAAGGGTTTTACAGTAATAAACAGTGACTGAGGTGGAAGTATGGGGAAATGGGTATGACCCCACGCCTTGCAGGATCCAGAAGCCACCGCTCAGCATAAAGGCAGGCCCAGGAGACGAGCCGCTCTCACCACCGAGCAGCACCTGCTCTCTTGAGAGAAAGGGCTGTCAAGTAGCGTTGAATTCCTGCGGTTCAGAGGTCTGTGGCCTGGCATGGTGGCACATCGTCTTTACGGATCAGCTACTCTGGGGTGCCTTGGCACTGTGAAAGGTAGGGCGCTTTGGTTTCCCACACAAGAGTCCAGGGGCCAGTGTGACGGTGATTGCCCAGCCAGCAATCCTTTACCTCCTGATGAGTAAAGGAGGGCGTTTCTGCTTCTGGGTGGTGACGCCAAATGACGTGGATATTTGGGAGCCCTTCAGATCTTGGGTCTCTGAAGTAAGGTTTGGAAGACAAGTGGCTTCTATTGTGTACCCAAATTTTATACAGCTATAGATAGATAGCAGGGGCTGTAGTTGCAACCTGTGAGTAGAGTGTCAATGCAAACTCAGTCCTTATGAAAACAAGATACTTCTTTTTTCTTCTGAAAAAAACACAGTATAGAAATGGTCTAGGTGTGCCTATGGTTTTATTTCATTTGCAGAGTGGTTTCTGAGTCCTGATACTGCTTGAGACTTTTAGAAAATACCAACTCCTGATGGTTGCAATTTTTAATTCATCTGCTAAACAAGTCTTTTTTTTTTTTTTTGGATGCTCTCATGCTTTCCTTTTTTATATATACTCCTTTGAATTTTCAAATTTAAACTTTTCTCAGCCTGCACATTTTCAATTTTATCCTGACGCTACAGAGTTAATAAAATATCTTAACCAGAGAAACACATGGGGTATTTTTGTGTGTCAGTTTTTATCAACTTAGTACTGCAGATGCATTAGCAGATCTCCTTTCATTCTAAGATGTATATATATAAACTGAATGTGGCCTTTTTCATGGTATTTATCATTCAGTATTAGAATGAATGATAGGTAAGAATTGTACTCATATTTCTGTATTTTTTTCTGATAGTGGTGTGGTGGAATATGATGCAGAAGGCTTCACAAAGCTTACACTGTTGCTGATGTGGAAAGATTTTTGCTTCCTTGTTCACAGTGAGTAACTCTTTGCCTTAGGCATGAATGTCTATCCTCTTGAAGATACAAGTTCAAAAGGGAAAAATACAATTACAGGAAACAATTTAAAAGTTTTAGCTATTTTTATCCAGTGCTTAATGTATTTTTTATGTGACCATGACACTTTGAAAACACAAAATGCTGATTATATGTGGAGAAGGGAAGGGAATCCACTAGCCTACTGCCTGCTCTACAGAACACCAAAAGCATCCTGCGGAGGTTTTCTGGTAATGTGACTCAGGAGTGAAGTTCACAGTTGTATCTCATCCATTCAAAGGTATCAGTAATGAGGACCGATACTATCCATAACTTGGGCACACCTAAAGTTTTCTGTAATTGTCAGGAATTAATTAATTGAGAGTGATAGTAAAGACATTTTTGGGAAAGTATATTAAATGAGAAATAATACTTGTAGTGTTGTTGGAAGGTAAAAGTTATTCCTAGACTGAAACTGTGTAGGCAAAACTGTCTTAACAGTTTGCTGCAGTATGTAGCTATATTTGCTGTCATATGAAATTTTTAAACCAAGATGTTATTCATTACATAAATACATAGGAATTACTTCACACAGACGTAAGTAAGAAAGGTATTGTTACTGCTTTGTAAGTGTTAACTTAAGTAGCAATTATTATT